TTGCATTTCACAGCAGAAACTCCGTGAAACACAGACGTCACCCAATGCGAATACCGGCTAGCTTAAACGAGACTGCAAAATTTGGCCCTTTTCAAAACATTAAATGTACATATACGACTATTCTATTCCTCTCCTTTCTCTTAGGGCGTTCGTTTAACTACGCTACACCTCTAGATACATGACACGCCCTCGCCAACCCCCATTTTACTTCATTTATTATGTCAGTGCACTTTGCCAGCAGTAATGCTACTCTTTCCAACACCCTAGTAATTCATGTGATGGTTAAAGTGGGCCTGTAATTTGCTGCCAGGACGCAGCTGCAACTATAACAAATTCGACAAAAAAAACCCTGAAAGCTCACTTGCTTACGCTCCTTTCCTCAGCAATAATCAACAGGAAGCAGGCAACCAGTTTAACAACTTCGGTGAAAAAAACCGCCACAGTGGAGAGGAACATTTCGCGTGGACGCGTTCGCACGTAGCGCATAACGAGCACTTGCGCTGCATTTTGAATGACCAGCACCACCAAACTTGCATATTTTACTGCCGTTTCTGAAACCAACCAGGACTGAAACGGAGACAATTCCTGGTGAAGTGTGAAGAGGCAACAGCAATTTCACGCCCAAAAAGTTTTTTAGAGAATTGCGCTGCAATTTGTTCAGGCCACTTCGGCTGCTACACAGACTAGCAATCCAGAAAAGCAATCACAAAGGCCTCGGACGATCTGAGGTCCCAATCGCGAGATGGCTCTACTCAGCACTTCATAATGGGGGTTCGAACGTTTTTACGTATTCTAGTCGCAAAAAAAAAAAAAAAAAAATGAGCGGCTATGGGCTACAAAATACCGCAGGAGGAAAGCATCAAGAGATTTTCCGTTGTACATTGTCCGATCAGTCTATCGTTCAGAGAATTAGTTTGAAAGCATTCTAAACGAAAGCAATTTCAAGTCCAGAAAAACAGCACACAAAATCCATAAAATCAGGTACATTTCAAAGGAAGTGCGCGAAATACCCAAAAGCGTTAGCATGCAAAACGCTTCCATCGAATTTTCAAATTTCTCTGGGAAAAAGATGTTTTCGGATATCTTAACACAGTTGGTGGTCCCCTTCCCGGACTAATTTAGTACTTCCCAGATGCATCTGGCTTCCCAGCGCTTTATGTGTATTCAAATGTTGTCTATCCGAACCAAAAAAAAAGTGTTAGTTTAAAGAACCTCAGCCATTTATTTCGGTACCTCGTTTTCTGACGAAAGC